TAGTCGATCTTCAGTACTTCAAAATTAGATTGAAATGGGTACCTAGCAAATCATGCCGAAAGCTGCATTCTTATTAACTGACAGGACCGAGAGTCCCTAAAGTTATTTCTACTGAGAGCGCGCTATTGTATAGAAGACCTTCAAGTCAGCCCACCGATTTTAGGGCGAGAAGCTGGAATTGCAAATTCATAGGGTTGATTTGGCCGAACGTGGAGCGTCAGTGTTCGAAGGTGCTTGTACTGACTAAGCGGCAACTGGCGATTCCGATAGAAGCCTCGACTGGCACAAGTTATGTATGCGTAGGCTGTGGTACCGATTTAGCTGGACTGACAACATTTTCTAGTTATTAATGAAACTTCAGAGTGCTATCAGTGATGGCAGGAGGAGTGATGGTGCTGATGGTAATGTCGATCGTTAGGTCTCATCGGCGATGATCGCAAGTATCGATGTCATTGATCGTGGATCGTTCAGTACCTTATAGTAACAGTTAAAATACTAGTGGATTTTCGGTGAATCCAGCTTGCCCAGTGTGATCAATGCTGCTGACGTCTACAAAGAGTGCTCTAAAATTAATAAGAAGAACTCAGAGTAAACAAATGCTATTCTCATATCCGCCTACTACTACTTGTATACGAAGGCTTAAAAGAATATTTAAGTGGAGGATTCGAATATGTGCGAGGCAACGACATCACTTTAACTTGCCTGAAAAGATGTGTGGTTAGTGCTGAGTAACTCACCATTAGCGGATCTAATGATCTGACTTCCAGCTTTGTGTCCAACGGTGTCAGTGGAATTTTCGCTGATGAGTAAAAGGGTTTTGGCAATGTTTCTGACTGTCCAAGAGAAAATATTGTTTACGCAATGCCAGATTTTGGTACTCTTGCCATTCCTATGATGCTTAAGTGGACTCCTTAATTTTGGAAATGTAAAAACTCAATCAACTTTAAGCTTTTTGGCATGATGTTTGTGCATTAGTGGCAGGAAAGCATCAGAGAGGTTTGTGACAGGACAAAGAGAATAATGCATACTTTTGGAGAATGATGCAGTTTTCAGGGTCTTGTTTTCATGGAACACGCTTGGACACGTAAACCGAAGACTTTCGACGACTTTAAACTTAAACGACCTTAACTTACATACAAAAACTAATTTGATTTTTTTTTATGTAGTCGGCAATTTTTGCCTTAAGTATGATTCTTGTAAGACCCCTGAGCTATACACTGCTGCACCTTTGGCAAACTTTAATCACTTTTAGGCCCATTATATCGACTGCTGAGCGGAAGATCGACCTAACTCGGCAGCCAGTTCGAAAACGCCCTATCTCAAAAAACTTTTCAAGAACGCCCTATTACAGCATTTGATTGAAGAACGCCCTACTTCAAAATTCGTTTCAAAAACGCCCTATCTCAGCTGGCGATTCAAAAATGCCCTATCTCGTCACATTTTCCATACATTTTGAAGTGATATAAGGCGTTTTGGAACCGAGTTTTGAGATAGGGCGTTCTTCTCAGATAGGGTGCTTTTCAATAAAATTCTGAAATAGGGCGTTCTTGAAAAGTTGTTTAATGTAGGGGTTTTTCGAACTGGCTGCCGAGATAGGTCGATCCTCCACTCAGCAGTCGATATGTAGCTCGCAGGCTCCGCAAACTCTAAGTGAACGCACGTTTTGGAAAGTTCTTCGGCTTTCTCTTTACCTACTGCGCTCCTATGTCCTGAGAGCCAAATTTTATCCTGCTAACCAAGGCTCAAAGCCTAACTACTTCATCGAACTGACCAACATAAGATGTTATACAGAGCCAACATGCTGGGTGGCTCGTCAAATCCAGCCTAGACTTGGCAACAATAGTTCCAGCGCCCCCAGAAGGGTTGTCAAAAACGGTACTGGTCACTGGTCGCAGGAATGATGGGTTCTCAACAAAATACTTTCCGGTGTCTTCTACAATCAAGTTTCATAAAAACTGTGATCCTCTATGCTGTATAAACAAACTTATTTGTTTATATTTCTAGAATCACGGTCTGCACCGAGTAAATAGAGAATCTTCCAGACCCAATCTAAAGTCCGTCTTGATCGCCTTCCATTATTCCAATAATCTTTTGCAACTGAGCAGACGTAAGGCTGCATGTTTGACGGAAACCTGCGACATTATTAAGCTTGATGCAGCTATTAAATATTTTGCACAAGTTCTACCCAATGCTGATATCTGAGTTCCGTAATATGGCCTTCTATTTCTGGTTATATGAAATTAAGAATAGTCGCAGCAAAAAAATCTTACAAAATTCTATCCGATTCGCGTCTTCTCACACTAAAAATTATCATCTCCAGAACTGCTGCTGAAGGGTGCGCGTTGAGTAGTGCCTTGAGCAATTGCTGGAAACCTCTCGGCCTTGGGTCCAAATTCCAACCGAATCTCTAATTAATCATTGCACATTATTACCTTGCATTAGTACCCTTCCTAATCTTTTATCCACATACTACATATTGTGTATTTATGTACGAAAATATGCATATTCTCCGCACTTGAAAATCCAAAGATATTTTGAAAAAGTACTTGAAACAATTTTCATTTTGAAATATGTGGATTTTGGCGCTGTCCAAAATGCCATGAACCATTACGCTACCAATGTGCCGTAACGGAAAGCCTAAGCTACTGCAAAAGTATGAGACTTGTAGAAGATTTTGCGCACTTAAGCAGCAACTATGCAATTTGTAATTTTTAACCTCCAAGCTATGCCAAAAGTCAGTTTATTTAGGTAGCTCCTTTTTGAATGCCCTTCACGCCTGCTGCGATGCTACAGCGTAGCTATAAGCTATATTAGCTCTACAAACAACACTAATAATCACCGGATACTGAGCAATCTTCTCCACATAGGTGCAGAAAGTCACAACGCACAGGAGAAAAATGTCGTAGCTGTGCTGAGTTCAGCACCACTGGCTTTGTTTCTTTCGGGGTTCCTACTGATTTGCAGATTTCGTTAGTTGACTAGCTGATGCTTTGCTTTGTTCGTTTCCCCATTTGATTTGTTAGTTTGCTAGTTGGACTACTGATTGCATCTACAATTCATAGGAAATTTACAACGAACCAGCAACGAAGCAAAACAAATGTGGGAAGCAGCAGCAGAAGAAGAATAAGTGCGCAAAAATTCCAAAAAAGGAAGTTAACGATTGTCTCCAGTTGCCGTTGCAGTTGCAATCGGAGTTGCAATGAGGAACACTCGACACCTACACACGACTGCTGTAAGTGCCTGCACACCAACCCAAATGTTACTTCTCAACTATCCCCCTAGCCTTGCAATACAAATTTGTTGGTGGATTGAAAGAAAAACAACAACTTTAACGCAACCAACAAGGCGAAACTGTTTTGGTTGGCCAGCTGCATTTGTTTGGAGATTGAAATTGGTGAAATTGGCTCCGTTTTGTACTTTTGTCACACTGCAACGAGCTCAAGCAACAATATCTAGTTTGCATGTAGCTAGGCGATGTGTGCTCCCTTTAGTAAATTGCAAACAATTTGACTTAGTTTGAAATGCATGCCACTCGTTGCCCTCCCATCTTGCCACCTACAGCTACAATCGCAATCCACTTGACCATGCCTTAAGCTGCTAACACGCCTTTGGCGTTCTTTCTGTGTTCCACCTTTAGTGCTTACCAACTGGTAAACAGTGTAAATGCAATTTCTAATCGTGGAGCCTAATTTACTTCGCACTGTGGTTTGGTTAAGAATTTCGGGGCATCTCTTTGGTGTGTTTTGCCGATGTCTACTAAGGGTGTTAACAAATGATTGATGGTATTTAGCTCAATAGTCAACATTGGACAACTCCTCGAACCGTCGTCGTATTATGTACCATGATATGGAGAGATTCTTCCCTGCTCAGGCTTAGTTTAGAGGAGACCCCAACTTCAGGCTTGGCGTCAAAATAACGAGAAGCTGACTTTAGTTATCCATCGGCTTTAAAACCAGCGGTGGAAAGTGTGGTTTGTTTTCCTTGAGTCCTTTCCTGGATATTATGCTCCATGAACATCCGGTCGAAGGAGAATTTGCGCGGCTTGAAGTCGCGTGGTGAATTCCAATCAGATTCTTCATAAAGGGTTTCTGCCTTAAGGACGAAATCGTCCAACTGTATATGCCATACTAAGAAGGCTTATTCCGTTGTTACAGGCTCCACTAGCAGGCTCACCCATCTTATGTGTTGAGGAATGTATAAACACTGAGACTTCAATTTACGAGCATGTATTCATCGGACCAAATTGCGCTCAACTGTTTATATATGCGTCCTACCTGCTATTCACCGCGGCTCAGGCAAAAATCCCCCAACTCTGGGGACATCATTGCTTTTCTCAAATACTTAGTTTTTGTCGAAGGGACGTGGGCTTTATTCCCATTCGTTTGTCTGAAGTCTTGGTCAAGCTCTCTTGCAGTGTGGCGTTGTGCAAACATTTAGTAGCGTTCCTTCCAAGTTCCAAATGTTCTCTGTTGCTATACCCCGATCCCTGCATCTGGGATAACCAGTCTACGACCGCTTGTACAATTTTTTGACCGAATTCTTTTTGGCCCGTATCTTAAGCTCCTAAATCTAACATCTCTCTGTCTTTTCCAGCTACCTTTTGAGAGGAGGTCGGTCCATCTGGGGTAGCAACATTATTCGCCGCGTTAGTCGGATTTTTGATCCATGAAAGCCAACCTTCTCTTCCAAGCTTAAGAGAGTCTAGGACATTAATTCTTGCTACTTCTTTCGAAGGTCAAGTGCAAATGTGCTGAATATTCTTTTAAGTACACAAAACGGTGGTTGTTGTTTTTGGCTTCTCAAATTGAATGTACGTCAAGCATGGTACGTTCTACCACAAATTGGGGCTCTATTTCCACAAACGATTTCAATGGACCGTATTGTTGAGGTATGCTTACTTTTAACAGATTCCACATGTGTTTTCCAAGAGGAATGTTTTTAGTGAAAAATCATCGAAGCCCCAAAAGATGAACCTACTATAACTTGCTTCCAGAGCCGCAATGTCTTCGGGGCAAGTGAGTGTCTATTGTGTTGGCCAAAATACTGGAATTTACTAACGAGTCATGTCATTTGAATCAAGAACCACTCTTTCTTCTACGCTAAAATATTTTTAGCTATAGTAAAATAAGGACATGTCTGGGCTAACTACAATTTTTAAGGGCC